GCAGAACTTGCGGCGGGGCGAGGCGTCGCAGCGCGGGGGTCTGGGCGCCGGGCCACGGGGTTCAGCCCGGGCTGTTGCCGAGGCGAGGCCCTGGCCGGACGGGGGCCGCGGGCGCGGGCCGCGTGGCCAGGGGCGCAGGGCAAGTTCTTGAATGGTCAAAGAAGCAGGGGGGCCCAGACATTCAGGCGAGGTTAACGGCCGCTCCGATGGGGTTGGAGGCCGACCCACCTGAGGGAGAAGGGGTCGGTGGAGCGCCAGAGGAATAATGGGGGGCCAAGGGTCGCATGGTCGCCTCGCATCGCCCGCCGCCAGCGGGGGCCAGGGTGGAATTTCAGTCCGAATGGTTTGATGGGTTGCCTGATGAGGCGTTATCGTTGGGGCGCCGCGCTCTTCGCAAGCGTTTGCTTCGTTTGGCCGCTGGGTTTGGCGGATGCCCGAGTCCAGTTCGCTGGGGTGCATTTAGGCGGGAGATCCGCCCGCTCTTTCGCAGTTGCCGGCGGTTGCGTTCAGGGCCATCTAGACGAGTGGGCGCGTCGACAATCCCATCGAGGTTTGCGAAAGGACCAGGTGGGCCATATTTGGCGTTGAGGGCGACGACGTGGAGATGGGCGGGGTTCCAGGATTGGGGGGGGGGGGCGCTATGAGATGGGCGGGGGCGACTGGCAGGCGTTGAAGTGCAGCGGGATCAGTGGGGGTGATGGAGATGAAGATGCGCGAGGTGCGGGCTGGGCTGGGCCTCGGGTCTCGCCGTCGATGTGCTTGATTGGCTCTCAGGTTCAGATTTGAACGTCGTTGGGCAGGTTGGCGAGATTGGGGGGGCAGCGGCGCTATGCGGTAGAGGGCGACAAGCGGCGCCAGCGTGCGTCTCGGAAGCTTGCTCGCCTGATCGAGTTGCTGGCGCGGCGAGGCGAACGGGGTTGATGCCGGCTTGGGCTTTGGGTCTTACGCGCGAGGCCACGCGGGCAAAGGCGCATTCGTTAGTCAAAAGTAGAAGTTTTGTCTTTGGTGCGCCCGCTGTGCGCGGCATTTAGCAGCCCTCGCGCGCGCTGCGAGGTGGGGTCGGGGAGATGGAGGGGTCGTCGAGTATGGGGTGGCGCATTCCACTTCTGCATGTCATGATGCAGCAGTCGCAGGGGCAATCGGGCTTATATTTAACGTGATCACCCAGCGGGGGTACTCAGCCAGGGCGTCGCGCTTGCGGAGGGGTCGTAAAGCGTAGAAAAGTTGATGCGTGGGAGGGCGACGTGCGTTTTATGGTTGGAGGCAGATAACCAAAGGGTGTGGTGGGTGGGGTGGGCGCGGGTTGGCGGCGGCGGGAGCGGTGGTCGGGGGCTCGCAGCGGGGGCCCCGCGGGGCGGGCGGGCAACGGCCCCCGCGCTGGAAGAGCCCGCGCTTGTAAAACATGCCAGGGGCACCGCGGACACGTGGAGCTGACGGGGTGACGCTGCGAGGTCTGCTCAGCCAGATGGTAGCATATGCTCGTGTATGCAGCCCATTCAAGACTTGCGATCCCGATGTTGACGCGACGAGCTTGGGTGAAGAGTTCGAGATTGACGTCGAACTGGAGCCAGGATGAGAAAGGGGGAGATCGCGGGCTCGCCCAGGGCGGGGGGGGGGCTACGGAAGCAACTGGTCGGTATTGTCTGGGCGGCAGGGGCCGTCGCGGAGTTCGCGCGCCCGCGGGCTTGCCTGGCCGAGCAGCCAGCGGCGCCCAGTCCCATTGCTGGGGCTGCAGCGCGCGCGAGCGCCGAGGATGCTCAGGAGGCAGAGGGCCTTGGCGCGCGAGGCGCGCGAGGGCATCGGGGGGGCGGGGCCTGTTCCGAGGGGGGATGTGCGCGGCTCATCGTGGCGAGAATGAGCGTGGCGTGCGCTTCGGATGGCGCGTCTGAAGGCGAGCTCGATCCCGCGCTCGCGTGGCCGACTTTCAAGGGTGGGCCTGGGGCGCTGTCGGAAGCGTGGGGTTTAACCGCTACAGGTCTGTAGTTTTGCCCCCCCCCCTTCTCTCTCGGCGGCGAATGAGGCCGGCCCTGCGCCCCCCTCCCCCCCTCCTCTTTGTGGCGCGGGGAGTGCCGCGGGAAGAGATGGCGAGTCCTAGCGGGGCCCTGGCGCTTCGGTTCCGCCGCCGGGCATATTGTAAGTTGCGCTTTATTGGGGGGGGGGGGGGTCAAGACATTTCAGGGTCATGAGCTGGTGGTGGGGGGGGCGCGTTGGGACGTCGCCAGGAAAGCGCCCGCGGGCGCGCTGTGAGTTCGCGTTGATAAGCGCGGCGCAACGCACCCGAGTGCCGGTCGCGGCTCGTGGCCCAGCAAGTTAAGCAGAGCTCGAAAGAATCGCGCGCGGGCCCAAGGGCCATTATTGTCAATGGCGCTCGCCGAGGGAATTGGATTATGCGAGTGGGGCCGCGGGGGAGGATTTCAATATGCTTACATTGCAATGGGCTTGGCCCTTATTCGTGCGAGCCAACGATGAAATCTTCATCGAGTTGCTGGAGGGGTGCTTGGCCTGGCATGTGCGCGACGTGGTTAGAGTCTTTGCGCGGGGCGCCCGATGTTGCCGGGGTCATTGGATTGCTCTTTGGGGTTGCGTTGCCATGCGCGTTCGAGCGCAAGGCCGGGCGGATGTGTGTTTGCTTTGAGCGGTGATTGTTTTATGGCAGGACTCGATGCCGATTTCAGCTGGTATGAGAAGAATTCCAAGACCAAGTTTGCAGGTGGTGTCCGGGGTCGCGTGGGAACATGGCTAGAGGATGCGGTGTCAATCTCGATCTGCTGCAGAATTGTCGAATGGAGTCCGGCGGGAGCGTGGTGTGAGGCTGACCAGCGACATGCTGATATATTTGTTTAAGAGCTGGGTTTGGAGCAGAACAGGGTCAGAAGTGAGGTGTCAGGGGGCGATCTCGCCGTGCGAAGAACAATTGCTGGCCTGCGAGGTGAGCAATTACCGGGCGAGGGTAGGTGGCGTGCATTGCCTAGCCTAGGACCGATCGGATGTCTAGTTTTCAGTTGATGAGCTTGCTCGGGCCATGTCATCGCCGACCCGGGGATCTCGGGGGAGCTTGTTTGATTGGCAAGCACTTGCACTTGGCAAGTCACGGCTGGTCTTGCTGCTGGTATTCATGCCCGTAGAGACCCGGGGAATTGCTGGTCTTGGCCGGCGCGGGTGATGCAGGGTGCAAAAGCGTTAAATCGAGGAGTGGTGGAACAGTTGTGCAGGTGTCGCTCGGGGTGGGACTTCGGAGCGCCACTTGGCGCGTTGTGGCGCTATCTCCTGGAGGGGCTGAATGCCGCGGCATGGTTCAAGGCGCTTCAGCAGGATTGGGGATCCAAGCGGTCTTGGAATATTCCAGCGTGGAGCGCAGTATTCTTTGTAAGACTCACGCCAGCGCTGCGATTGCAGTGGGCAGTCAGAAGGGGCGTAGGCAACGCGAGACACATTCCAGTATGCCAGCGATATTCGCATGGAGAAGCGAGGCGATGAAGTCGTCCAAATGGGGGCCCGCGAAAATGCGGTGGATGCGTTGGCGACGTGCGTGGGTAGAGATGGTGTGTTAATGCGCGCGTGGGGCACCGGCCAACGCGTCGCCACTGGCAGGCGCGGGTCGGCCCTGGCCACTGCGCGCCAACGCGGCGTCATATTGTTAGGGGCGCCGTGGGCCAGTTACGGCCCGAGCTCAGGACCGGGTGAGATCCAGGTGCTCGTCGTGGTGCCGCCGTGGGAATCACCGTTGATCGCGTCGGTAGATCGTAACGGCCAGTGTCGATCGCGCATTTACATGTGTGGTTTGCTCATTGCCTTCCGTTAGCTGCGCTTTAAATTCGTTTCCGTCGTTTGAATTTACACGTATCCGCACGTATATGCATGTATACATACATGCACATACATATACACACATACATACATACATATTTTCACACATAAAACATACACGCATGCAAACATGTATACACACATCCATAGTGACATGTGTGTGATACCTCTCTACACATATATAATAATAATAAGGTGTATGTGGTTTTGCTGATGTACGGATGCATGCATGTATGAATGTATGTATGCATTTGCGATGCACGCATGTATGTTTGTATGTACGTATGTATGTATGTATGTGGGTATATCTATTTTTGAATAAGTGTATGCACACATCTACGTCTTGTACTTTGACTCGTTCGTTTGACCATGCAGCGTCCATGCGCAGAGCAGCTACGACCCATATCACTTGTGCGGATATCCCGCCATAATCCAAACCACCATCTGCCTTGCCGCGTTGCGCTCCCATTTGCGCTGCTTACGTGTCGGTAGCCATGTTTTATGCGTGTAGCTTAGTACATATATGCATTATATATATATATAAATATAGATATACATACATAGTTGCCTCTGTCGTGTTTTGTGGTCCGGTGTGGCCGATGGTGTTTGTGTGTGTGCGCGCTCAATTGCCGTCGTGACGCTTGGAGGAACAAAAACCATCGTTCGCTCTTATGATCCAGTCGGCTACCATAACCGTTTGGTTCAATTCATCGGCCGCTGAGCATTCGCATCGCGGTTGAAATATCATTTTATCGTTATTGTGTAATGATTGCCAAACTTGCAGAAGGAAAATGGGGACGGTGGATGATGATGATGATGATGATGATGATGATGATGATGATGATGATGAGGAGGAGGAGGTGGAGGAAAAACAGAATGAGGAAGAGGAAGAGGATGAGGAACAGCAGGAGTAGAAAAGAAGGGGGGCGGAGGAGGCAGAGGTGGAGGACGTGGAGTAGGAGGTGGAGGATGCGGAGGAAGATGAGGAACAGGACCAGGAATAATAGAAGGAAAAGGAGGGGAAAAAGGAGGAAAAGGTGGAGGTGGGCGAGGAGGAGGAGGAGGAGGAGGAGGAGGAGGAGGAGGAGGAGGAGCAGGAGGAGCAGGAGGGGGGGGAGTAAGAGGAGGAGGAGGAACAGGAGGAGGGCGAGGAGGCGCAAAAGGAGGATTAGGATGCGTCCGCCCGCGGGCAGGTCTACCCGGGCAGGCCCGCGGCCTGCGCCGGCAGAGGCCCCGCAGACGGCGCGCCGTTTCCCGGCGAAGCGGACGGCGGGTGGCCGCAGGCGGGCGCGCGCGCGTCGTGCAGGGATGATCGGCGACGACGGAAGAGAACGTAACACCATAGTAATAATAATGATAAGCATAATACTAACAGCGCTAACAGTAATAGTAATAGTAACATCCAGAAACACAGTAACAATAGTAACATTAATGGTGCCAATCTGAACACGTGCATTACTGATAGTCATACTTACAGTAACAAGAAGAGGAGACGAACAATGATAATAATAACACAACTAATGATAATACTAAGAATAATAACGCGACGAATAACATACTCAAACTGTTACTATTAGTAATACTAGTACACACTGAGAAGACTAATCTCAATGAAGATAATAATGGTAATGCGACGAACAGTAATAATCATGGTAAGAATATTAATTATAGTAATACCAATAATACGAATAGTACGAGGAATACGAATAAACATAATAATAATGCGAATGCTGACAATACGGATAAGGACAACAATAATAATACTAACATTATTATTGATGATAATAATGCGAATAAGAATTTTTCGCCATCATCACAATACAAATAAGACGACCAATCATAAGCATAGTAACAATACCAAAACAAAATGCTAATCATAAGAATAAGTATACGAAGAAGAGGAAGGAGCAACGTCATCAACATACACTTTTGGCGCTCCGCGCGGGTTTCTCGGATCTGCGGTGGGCCTCTCCAGCGGCGCCTCTGGCGCCGCCCCTGGCGCCAGAGGAACCCCAGTGATGGGGTCCAGCGCACATCCACTAAATCCGCGCGGAGCGTCAACAATTTACGTTTATTGCGTTTTTTGTTGTTTCCTTCTTCTTTTCTTTCGTCGTTGTTTTCTTCTCTTCTTCTTCGTCTTCTTATTCGTCGTTTCCTTCTTCGTCTTCGTCTTCGTCTTCGTCTTCGTCTTCGTCTTCGTCTTCGTCTTCGTCTTCGTCTTCGTCGTCTTCTTTTTTTCTTGATATTATTATTCTTACTGTTATTACGTTTTCTTATTGTTCCTCTTCTTCTACTTCTAGATGACTGGCAGATGCTGTGGTGCATGGTGCCGCCGTGTATCCTGGCGCAGCCGATCCGATTCGATCCCAGCCTCCATGCCAATGTTGAGCATCGTACATTCGATGCCCATCCCCATGCCCCGCCAGGTGACCCGCAGGCCTCGGGATGTGCCCCGCGAAGCCCTGGGAGGGCTGCAGGTGACGGGGTTCAGCGCAAGCGTGGCTCAGTGAGAGCGCCAGATTCTGCAGGATCTTGCGCAAACAGGGTTTTGGCTGAGCCGGCGTTTGAGAGCTGCTCGCGGCCCTGGAGGTGGCCATGCAGATTGACCGAGCCGGGTGTGCGAGGTCCTCCCGAACAACTGCAGCGCAGTCTTTCTTGGTTGAGCCGGGTTTGCGCTGAGCTGGGGTAGCCCCCGCCCGAAGGAGGAACCCCTCCGACGGGATCGAGAGTTTCCACTTGGGGCAGGCGTTGGAGCAGTCTACCGCAGAGGCTGTTTTGGAGGAAGAATCGCCGATGCATCGCCGATGCGGCTCGATGTGTCTAGGCCATCCCCATGGGGTCGGAGCAGATGGGGTCGGAGGATCGCATCGCATCGCCGATGCATCGGCGATGCGGCTCGATGTGGGGCTGGATGTTCTACACGCTTACGCCGCCAGTGCATCGCCGATACATCGCACATGCATCGGCGATGCATCGCCGATGCATGGGCGATGTATCGGCGATGCGGCGCGATTCTCCGAACCCATCTGCTTGGACTCCATTGTGGAGGCCTCCAGTTGAGCTGGGTGTGTTAGTGCGATCTGGCCAGCAGAAAAGGGGGGGGGGAGTTTTTTTTGGGGGGGGGCGGGATCCTTTTCGGACTTCCTGGGGGCTTCTCGTCGCCACGGCTGGACGCGGCTCGAAAAGCTGATGCGCCTGGACCCCAGAGTGGGTCCAGGGACCGATTGTGGGCGGATCGGGCTTCATCCCCCCCTCTCGACCGATTGTCCAGGGGCCCCTCTGGCGCAGACTCCCTGGCCACCTCCCTCGCGGGAGACGCGGGGCGCCCCATGCGACACGACGCAGGCACTCCTGCTCGTCGCCCCAGCCGAACCCGCCCAGGCCGCACAGGCCCACTGCTTCCACCCGCGCTGCTCCGAGGGAGTGCGTCGGCCTGGCATAGGGGCGGAGCGCGCGCTCCGAGGCCTCGGATCGGGCGCTTCGAGAAGTGCCCCTGGCCGAAGGTGCCCTAGGATCTCCGCGGAGGCCCCCGCTGCCTCCAGAGCACTCCCCACGAGGCCCAGAGTGCCCCAGGGGCTCCAAGATTGAGCGAACAGCGGGGCGTACCTGGGCCAGGGGCACCTTTGGCAACCCCCGGTATAGCATGAGCTCTGTGAAGGAGGGGATTTCTGACTTGGCTTAAGTCGGGCCTTTCCCTCTACAGGAGGGAAATTCAAAAGTGGTCAAACAATAGTATGGATGGGGACGATTGGTCGAGTTGTTTTTTGATTATGTTTGAAAATGTTCAGGGGTATTCTGGCCTAAGACTTGGCAGTGAAGGCGCCGAAATACGGGCCACGGGCTCAAGATGGGGCTCTGGTTTGTTCGGGCCCTTCCTCAGTAGGTCTGGGTCGGTGGACCTGTTTACCAGTTTGAAACATATCCCTATCCCTATGTTTGACATCATCTCACCTCGATGCCGATCTTAAGGATCCCCTCAGTTTCTGAGGGCCTATCCCTAAGATTGTCCTCGCTTTCTGCTCGCCCATCTTAGGGATAGGGATAAGTTCGAGGTTGGTGGACCTGTGCGCCTCACATGGTACTCTAGCTTCTGATAGTAGCATGATGGCTGTTGGATGCGGCCGGGGGGTCTGAACCCAGAACATCGGTCAGGATGGGGGGATGAGGCTAGCTCTGCTCAAAATCGGTCCCCTGCTCCCTCGCGGGGTCCGTCTGGTGCAGTTTTTCGCGCCAGATCTGTCTCTGACGGTCCCGGGGGCCGAAAGCGGCTCCCAGGGACCGAAACAGGGAAAAAACCTTCCTGAACCCAGAGCCTCGAACCTGCCCGTCCTTCCTGCTGGCCCTGACCAGTTCTTCAGGAGGGGAAACAACACACAGACACAATTGATCGTCGATTCCCCAGGAGATATGGCAAGTGGAGGGGGGGGAGAGGAGAACCCAGAAAATAAGGGCAAATATGGGGAATCCTGGGATTTGTGTCTATTTCTTTGTGTGTCCCAGGGCCCCTTTCGTTTGAACGCGGGCGTGTCCCTCTACAGGAGAATTATTCAAAAAGAGTGGAGAAGTAGCCTGGGGGCGCTCTCTCTACTACCTTTGATTCTTCGGGGGTACTTGTTTGGACAATGTTTTTATTTTTCGTCCAAAATCCGCCTGTAGCTAACCTAACATTCCAAAATCCGCCTGTAGGTAACCTAACCCAACCTAATCGTCTTTTTATTATTCGTCCAAAATCGAACATTTTATTTTGGACATGCCCGACCTAACTTTCGCGCTGGGCCCCCCGAGGCCTGGGGGCGGCCCCGAGAGATGGCCGTGCTCACGTCGTGCCGCGTGTGCGTCGGCCCCGCGCGCAAGGCGCCCGCGCGCTCCGCCGTCCGGTGTTGGGCCGGGCACGTCCCCCCACAGGCGGATCGGGGGCGAAAAGCTACGAGTACCCCACAGATATTCAAGCATATTCAAACACGGTAAGCAAGTCGTTCCCAGACGTTTTTTGTTGTTGTTTTGGTTTTTGTGACATATCTACAGTGCCGTTTTGAATGCATGCTCCGCGTGCGGATCATGCGTTAAAGATGCAGGGATTTAGTATCAACAAACAACGATGAGATCATGCATAAATTTACTCGTGAATAATCATGTGTAGAAAATCATATATATATATATTCAAAAATCCTATGTATTAAAACCTGCCCTGAAATTTCACTATTTTTGAATCTCCCCCCCTGTGGAGGGACAGGCCCGACGGAAGTCTTGTGGCACAAGCTCCGTGGCGGGCGCCGCCCGACCATCCGCCAAGCCGTGGCGAAGCGTCCTGGCTCGCCCTGTGATCGTTCTTTACTTCGTTGTCTTGCCGATCGGCGCGGGCCCTCCCCCCCCTCCCCTCCCTCCCCCTCCTCCCCTCCTCCTCCTCCTCCTCCTCCTCCTCCTCCTCCTCCCTCCTCCTCCTCCTCCCCCTCCTCCCCCCTCCCCTCCTCCTCCCCCTCCTCCTCCTCCTCCTCCTCCTCCTCCTCCTCCTGCTCCCCCTCCTCCTTCCTCCCCCCCTCTCCTCCTCCTCCTCCTCCTCCTCCTCCTCCTCCTCCTCCTCCTTCCTCCTCCTCCTCCTCCTCCTCCTCCTCCTCCTCCTCCTCCTCCTCCTCCTCCTCCCTCCTCCTCCTCCTCCCCCTCCCCCTCCTCCTCCTCTGGAGTACAGTCAAAGACCCTAGTAAGGACGCGCGACTGTGCTCAGGGTACCCTTGCGTCCTTGCTCTTCCTTGCTCTTGCGTCCTTGGGGTTTGCGTCGTCCGCCGCCCCAAAAAATCCCAACTTCGGCTTCCAAGGGTCTTGCGTCCTTACCGCGCGTCCTTATTAGGGTTTTTGACTGTAGATCTTGGCTGCTTTTTGGCGCCTGTTTCGAGCGGGTGGAGTCTCCCCCAGAGGCAGCACTCTTGAAAGCAGTCGCACTGAGCAGAGGTCTGGAGCCAGGCCTCGTGGTCTGTACGAAGTGTTCTGGGAGCATTTCTGGCCGAGATCTGTCTTGTTTTGAACACATCGGGTCTATGTTCAAAGAGCATTGTTTTTGTTTTTCATGTTGGGGTTCTAGGAACATGACGTGGTAGGCCTATAGGAATGCCGGGACGGTCGGTCGCTCAAATACGGCTTGGACAACGAAGCGCTGTGAGTTTTTGCACTGTCTGTTCGGGCCGGAGTGGGTGCCCATGCCACTAGTCGGGGCTCCATAGCCAGGGATGGTCCCCGACCTGGGATCTGCATTTCTGCTCACATCCTTGGCCGCCGTCGACATCGTCCCCCTGCGCGGAAGGCCTGTGCTCCGGCACACACGCACACTATCTTCATGCTCTGAGCGTGTCGGGGGCCCCCAGACGGTGTGGTGACAGCACCGTGTGGTGAGTCGGTGGGGATTCGGGGTCACCGCACGGTTCTGGGACCCGAGGCCCTCTCCGAGGACGGCTCGGGCGACAGGGGCCTCCGAGGTCCCCAAACCGTGCGGTGACGGGCCGTGCGGTGAGGTCTTGGGGGGATTTCGAGGTCACCGCGCGGTCCGTCGCCGCGCCGTTTCGGCACTCGTCATGCTCCGAGCGCGCTCCGCCGTCCGCGGCTCCCCCTCCGCCTGTCCGCGCTCTGCGCGCTCCTTGCTGTGCCCCTCGGCCGCCTCCGGCCGCGGCGTGGGTCTGCCCTGTCGCGACCCCCCCGAGAGAGCTCGGCCCAGACGTCCGTCGCCAACGCACGCACACGGCACTATCCTGAGATCCGACGCTGCGAACAAAGTTTCAGGGGGGGGAGCAGACACACAGACACAATTCATCGTCGACTCCCAAGAAAAAACATGGGGAAATGTTGGACGTGGTGGGGGGGGAAGCCGGAAACCCAGAAGATATGGGAGAATATGGAGAATCCTGTTGTCTGTGTCTCTCTTTTTGTGTGTCCCAGGGCCCCTTCAAAGCTGCAGCGTCGCGAAACAGCACGACCAGAGCCCCAGACCCCATTTTGCCGTGGCCGTTTCCGAGCCGGATCGATGTGTGGTGGCCCCGGGGCTGGGAGCCGGGCGAGAGCGCCAGGTGTGACAAACTCTCAACGCCCAAAGTTCGGGGCAGCATGTCTCAGCCACGCGCAGAGGGGGGTTCTGGGGAGGGGGGCAGGCTTCTTAGAGGCACTCCTGCTTCATAGCGGGTGCGGGCCTTGTCCGTAGATGTAGGGCTGGCGCCTTTTAAGAGGCAGCCTCGTTCTGAAGAGCCTTACCCCCTCCCCCTGCCCACTTGTGCGCGCCGCCAGATGTCCTGCCGCACCCCGCACCAGGCCGCTGCGCCACCCCTGCCGCCAGCGGGCGGCGGCGCCGGCCACGGCGCGTTCCTCGACGCGGCGACCCAGGCTTGAGGAGAGGAGGAGTCGGCCACGCGTAGCGGGTGTATGGGGGAGGGAAAGGCTTCTTAGAGGCACCCCTGCTTCTTAGAAGGCGCGGGCCTTGTCTGTAGATGTGCGATCGTCGCCTTCTGAGAAGCAGCCTCTTTCTAAGAAGCCTTCTACTCTCTTTTTACCCCCTTGTGCGCGCCGCCATAGGAGGATGAGAGGGAGTGAGGGTGTGGGGGGGCACGATGCGGAGGAGGAGGAGAAGTAGCAGAGTAGGAACGGAGCAGCCCCGCCGCTGATGTCTGCCGAACAGCAAAAAAACAAGAGGAGGAGGAGGAGGAGGAAGAGGAGGAGGAGGAGGAGGAGGAGGGAGGAGGGAGGGGGAGGGGAGGAGAGGGGGAGGGGGAGGGGAGGGGGAGGGAGGAGCAGGAGGAGGAGGAGGAGGAGGAGGAGGAGGAGGAGGAAGAGGAAGAAGGTGACGAAGCAGACGAAGAATACGACTGATAATTCCCCAATCAGTGCTTGCCTCTGTAGGTGTCCTAGCGGATTCATATGGTTAGGTGAGGTTTGGTGCATATTTCGGCGACACTCCCGGGTGCCCCGGTGCCCGAATGCCCAAGTGCCCGGGTGTCCGGGTGCTCGGGAGCCCTCTAACCCTATAGCCTTATAGCCTTATAGCCTTACAGCCCTCCAGCCCTACAGCCCTATAGCCCTATAGCCCTATAGCCCTGTATCCATAATAGCCCTGTAGCCCTATAGCCCAATATCCCTAAATCCCTACACCCCTATAGCCCTATAACCCTATAGCCCTAATAGCCCTAATAGCCATATAGTCCTATAGCCCTATAGCCATAATAGCCCTATAGCCGTATAGCGCTATATCCCTAAAGCCATATATCCCTATAGCCCTGTAGCCCTACAGCGCTATAGCCCTATATCCCTATAGCCCTGTAGCCTTATAGCGCTATAGCCTTATACCTATAGTCCTATAGCCCTATAGCTCCAGGGCCTTATAGCCCTATAGCCCTGCAGCCCCACAGCCCTATAAACCTAAACATATTATGTTTGAGCTTTTCTCTGGTATCATAAGAAGAATCGGAAGAAGAAGCCGAGGAGGAGGAGGATGAGGATGAGGAGGAGGAGGAGGAGGAGCGAGAAGGAGGAGGAGCAGGGGGATGATGATGATGAGGAGGAGGAGGAGAAGGAAGTGGCCCGGGGGCGGCGTTCGGCGCGTGGCCGGGGACACGCGGGGGAGGTGCCCCTCCGCAGTGCTGCCGCGGCCCTCCGGGGGCGTTGCCGCCGAGGCGGCTGGCGGTGACGATGGTGCTGGTGACGCTGAGGGTGGTGGCTGATGGAGTCAATGCACTCCTTCCGCTCTGCTGCCCGTC